CCTCTCCAGTCGGTCACACCATGAAACCCGGCGTACAAACCACTCGGCCTCGGAGGTCGTCTCTGTATGTAGACTACTAGTCTGGTTCACAAGTGCCTTTTCTTCGAAACCTGTTCGCCAGCACCGATCCACCACCGCCACAAACGTCTGCATATTTTATATTGTTCAAGCAAACTCTAATAATATATCAACCTGTATGAGTACTGCTGAGCTCACCGATTAGGCGATTCATGTATAGGTAAATAAAGGATCAGGATTTTTTTTCCAATTATATTTCGATTATTTAAGTTATACTTCTTTAGGCGCGTTATGAAAAAAATGATGAGAGTGAAATTTTAAGATGCGCGCGCATCACTGTAACACAAAAATTAACAGCATGCTGTTACTTTTGTGTTTACCGCACATTAAGAAAATCTACCAACAAAATACATAGAAATAGAATCTCTATTTTGTGGGTGCTAACGACTGCATTGTGAATGCCTATCAAAAGTATTTATTAATCTGGAACAACGGAACCAAAGCGCGATTCAGGAGACTACAGCGCCATCTCTTGACCATTGGTGTAGTAGAACCAAAAACCACATCTTTATTTTTTGTAATAAAGTAACAAAAAGTATTTATTAATCTGGAACAACGGAACCAAAGCGCGATTCAGGAGACTACAGCGCCATCTCTTGACCATTGGTGTAGTAGACCCAAAAACCACATCTTTATTTTTTGTAATAAAGTAACAGTTATAGGTATTCATATTTATAATATTTATCCACATGTTTAAAGTTTGTATATTCGGAATACGTGTTTGAGTTTCATACAAGTGCAAATCACATATGTTCTAATAAATTATATTCAGTAGCGATTTTAATTGAATATTTTGATTATTTATTTATTTTTTCAAATTAAAACTGAACTTTATTGACTGTGTCCTTTTCCAGACTTTTTATTAATTTATTGTAATTAATTATTTGCATGCAATTAAAAACTAATTTTGAACGATGCCAAAGAAGGATAACTTCTCACGCGCCTACATAAGTACACGCACCCATTTTTCTCAAATTGATTTGAAATATTTCAAAAAAACCAAACCCTTATTTTTTATTTTATTTTATATTTTATAACTTTTACATTATTTTTCAGCCCCTCTTGGAATTTTGATAGAACGTTCTAGATGCCATTCCGAATCGAATGAGCCCAAAATCATAATTATTCGTGCTGGCGTGTTCGCCAGCTCGCCACTCGAGAGGTTCCGGGTTCGAATCCCAGTGGGGGCAAATGTTTGTGTGATGTTTTTTTTCATTTGTACTGCAGCCACGGATGTTTAATGTATATTGCTATAAAAATAAACATTTATATATGTACTGCTTATGTATTCTATCCGTTACCCTAGTATCCCATAACACAAGCCTTACAGTGCTTACTTTGGGCTAAATTGATGAGGATGTTGAAAATATTTGTTAGCCTGTTAAAATTTTGTCTCTTTCTTTTTATTAAACTTATGCACGTAGTTTGTTAAATAAAAATAGTAAATAACGGGTTCGATTCCCTACCATAATATCTACTTGTATGGTGTGCACTTCACAATATTGAATACCTAAAATTATTATTGGTTTATAATATTTCCTTTCTACCTGTTGCATTCTAAGCAATAAATCAAACAACACGATACGAGTGCCATTACTATAGTTTATCATACTAATATTATAAAGGCGAAAGTTTGTGAGTGTGTACGTTTGTTACTACTTCAAGTCTAAATGGCTGGAGCGATTTTAATAAAAATTGGAACGGAGTTAGCTGATACCCTGGATTAACACATAGTCTACGTTTTAATGCGGAAAATATCCATAACACCGCGGGGCACAGCTAGTTGTATCTAAGTCAAACTTGACAATCTTAGCGCAACCGCAGAGCGCAAGCACGCGTTAGTATGAAAAGTGAAGTACAACATACCTGAGGTTAGTTTACTAGAAAAAATTCCTATTGCTATTTCTTCTTTCAAATGTTTAATACTAATTGTGGGTTACCTACAATGCGAAGAGATGGCGCTGCCTTGCAGCTTAAAGCTAGGAAAATTTCGATGCGGCTAATAGGGCCGTGGTAGCATAATGGTCAGTGCATTCGCCCGGATTGCGAAGGGTGCGGGTTCGAGTCCCGTCCGCTGCCTGGTCCGCGTGGATTTTTTTCTAGTAAACTTTTCTTTAGATTTAAACATCTAGCAGTTAAATGCTTAAAAAATAAATATAATCATACCTGAGGTTCTGAAGGAAATGGCACTTGTGAACCAGACTATACCTTCTGCACTATCTATTTTGTGCCAGAGTTGTTCTTGCATTGTATATTCACAACGCGGCATCACGGCACGGCCTCGATACGATTGTTATGCATTCTGCGCCGGCGGAATCAAATTTTGATCTGGTCCTCTTTGCTTCAGCATACTTTATTACTTTGTTATTCTGTTATGCGACGCGCAGCGGGATCGGATAACGATGCGACCATGTGGACGATAACGGGAAGATTTTTTTTTATTTTTCAATAAATCGAACGTGGCCAATCAGGGTTCGTTATACAGGGTGTAAAAATAACCTATGACAAAGACTGAAAGTACGCATTCTGTACACCCAAACAATTAATGTTACAAAATATTATACGTGGGAATCATTTGTATTTTTTGGAGTTTACTCCTTAAGAATCGATTTGCATATATAAGGGGCCCGGTATGAGAAAAATATGAGGAGTGAAATCTATCGATGAATGACCTCGTTACGTTTTTACTGTCTACGCTGTAGCAGCCGTAGTGCTACACCGTAGCACAGTATCGTAGCGTACCTTTATTTATGAACATCTGAAATTGACTATTGTAAAAAGTTTAATGTAAAATATTTCGTCGATTAGTTATAATAAATGTATATGAAATGAATAAATATATATTTATATATGTATATTATTTTCATTAATTTGTTAATTTACACTTTCATACAGTATCAATCTTTTTTAAGTTAAACTCTTTTTGCGTCTGGTTAGACTATCGAACTTAAGAAGTAAACTCCAGTCGTGCGTCGGAGCTGACACACACAATTTTTTTCCAGTACGCAATATATAGCTCAATACTCTGGCGTCCTCAAACTAAAATTCGGCTAAGTGACATGAGGTCAATATTTCAGTCTTAAAATGCATCTTATACAGTTTTTAATTCTCTATCGATCTGTCTATAACAAGTGTTTTTTATCTTTTATAGTTTAAGTCTAAAAATCCGTCATGTGATGAATGGTTACAAAATAGGAATAATTTAAAGTTTACGTGCAGTTTTTTGGTCATATTTCACAAGTTGTTTTTGTCATTTAGCCGCGTTTTAGTTTGAAGACGGCAGTACTGCGGCGCTACGAAAAGAATGTACCTATGTGCATGTGTGTGCGTGTGTGTAAGTGCTTTGATAAAAAAGTTTCGAAATAATGTTTTGAAAAACAAATTGTGACCTTCAGTATCTCCCTAATCATAAATTTCCCAGGTATGGTCCAGAAGAAAAAAATATCGTCATGATGTGGAAAATACGTGGTCTTCGACTTCGTTATTGGATTTTTCACAGCCTGTATATGAAATTGCTATTTTTGTTAGAGCAAATTTACACTTATATGTTTCTTTTAAAAGTAGAAGATTTGAAGCCAGACTTTGTTTACCATCTAACAAGACATGGCTTATGAATAATAGTGTACTTTGTATGGCACCTCAAGTTTATAATAAAATACCACATGAAATTAGAAAAGCTGAAAGCCTGAATATATTTTGATCAAAATTAAAGAATATATTAGGAAGGATTTTTTAGAGGACAAATCTTTGTAAATGTATGTACCAATTTGTTTATTTGGATGATGGGCAAATTGTATGGAACTTGGTATCCGTTCCAATAGAGATGTGTTGCATATCATTTGAAAGGTCTACTTGAATACAATAATGTCTACTATGGCGCTTGCCCTGATACGTTGTCGAAACAGAGCTATATGCTAAATAATAAAAATAAGATTTTTCTTTTTAAATTGTTATACATTTTAGTATTTACATTATTTTAGCAGTGTTGTAAGTATTAACAATAGGCATTAGGTTAGACCGTTGATATCTATATCATTATACTATACCAGTGCCTTCCGACTTAGTAACAATACAACCTCGTGTGAAATATTTAATGTTTATCTTTAACGTGGTAAAAAACATAATAAAAAAAAAACAATAACTAGCTTGTTATCTTGAACGGAGCTATATAGGCGTATATAGAGGGGGGGCCGAGTGGGCCATGCCCACCCCAGGACGGTCTTGTGCCCACCCCAGGATGTTGGACTACCAATTCGAAATTCTATAATACTAATCACCAACTTCAGACGACTCTTCAATGTCAGGGCCCAGCTCCCCCCTGAAAAATAACCCTAGACACGCCAATGACGGTAACACTTAATAAAAACTTTTTTAACAAAAATATAAATAACAAAATAGAAAAGTTTTTTTTTGTTTTTATTCATTTAATTTTTTATGTATGCAGTTATCCAGAGGCAGAGTGAAAGAAACACATTTTTGAGTAATTACTTTATTCATTATCTATAAGGATGTCATTTAGGAACAGTGCAGGAGCGACGAATCCGGCGTGCCTGGCAAAGCTTCGGTACCATATAATTGATAATATGTAAGCACAAGTTCCTATGGTATGTCTACCAATTAGACATGTACAATAATGTTGAATTATATTATTATAATTCATTATATAATTAATTATTCAATTATATTAGTCAATTATATTGACGACCTCCTTGGCCGAGTGGTTTGTACGCCGGGTTTCATGGTGTCGCCGACTCGAGAGGTCCCGGGTTCGAATCCCGGTGGGGGCAGATGTTTGTGAGATGAATACAAGCATTTATACTCCAGTCACGGATGTTTAATATGTATTTCTATATAAATATATTTATATATGTACAGTATATGTATTCTATCCGTTACCCTAGCATCCCATAACACAAGCCTTACAGTGCTTACTTTGGGGCTAGGCTAATTGGTGTGAGTGTCGGAAATATTATTATTATAATTATTATTCTAAGCCAAGTCGTTACTACTGAATAATACGTAGCAGTAATAGGTCCTTGCTCGAACATGGCGAGACCGGATTCGTCCTCGTAACAAACAAACATTTTGATCTATGCCGTATTCAGGCAAGTCTTCCAATGCATATGTTTCTATCGTATATAGGCCATTATTTAAATGCTCGCTACAGTAAGATCTTGCTAGTTTGAGTTGATATGTGCCCAAAGCAAGCACAATGAGTTCTTCTTTAGTCAGTTGGGGGAAGTTTTTCACTTGCATTGCTTTAAGTCGATGAAGTCTGCCCTTCGATGGTTCATCCGCTTTCTTTCTAGCCGCGGGACAACGATAAAAACAGGTTAAAATAACGATAAAAGATATAAGAAGGAACGAACGTAGTCTCACGCGCAGTACTAACGATCGACTAATGCGCCCGCGCGCTCGCGCCTTCTATCTACCTGCTTAAATACGGGCGGGAGAGGGGATGGCATGCCGCATTCAACTCTGTACTTGATTCAGTGACTTGATTTCCCTTTTTGGTTATGTAATAATAAATAATGGCAATAACGGTTCCTGCAAAAATGGTTCTGGTATTTTCTGGAAAAACTAAAAACGGACAACAAATATCAGAATGCCGCCATAGTAACTAATATTCTACATGAAAAGAGGTATCCAATGATATATCACTCATCGCTATTGATACCAAACACCAATTGGATACCAAAATGCCCGTCCTCCTTTGCGTAACTTGTGGTGAAATATGGAATATTATAATTTAACAGCTTTGTATCACCTGTATTTGCAAATAAATGATTGATTGATTATTTTTGTGTTACTTTGTGACGGTAACTACCATTGGTTTCAGATAGTAAAAAATCTAATATAAAGTGGGCATATAAAACCAAATTAATTTATATTTATAGGTATGAATTACTATCATTTAATGGAATTCCATTCGCTGTATTAGTGCAGTCATTGAAGCATTATTGCTCCGAATTTTTTTACTGTGAACCAAATTGCATACAATTTTGGAATTAGGTTCATCTTACCCTTAACTTCAAAAGTGAAAATGATTTGAACTCCGCAACCACCCTGGGGGTGGTTGCCACCCCTTCTTGGTGGTGAATTTTTTTTTTCAAAATAACCTCGGATATCGATAGAAAGCCTAATTTTAAGCAAAAAATCGTCTATACAGTTTTTCAAAAAATCCAATCCTTTTCAAGATATTGGCAATTGAAAATTCGAAAGTTTTTCCCGTTTTTCATCGGTTTTTTGCAAATATCTCCAAAAATATAAGTTTTATCGAAAATTTTATAATGAACAAAATTGTAGCAGGTAAAACAATGAACAATTTGGTTTTTATAAAGTATTCTAAGTGCAATATGAAGCTAGATATTAAAGATCAAAGCCGTTTTTATTTTGTCTGAAATTTAATCGATGTGGTCAATGCCATCTAGCGGCGAGCAGATGCATTTTATGCATTGTAATACAAAAGGGTTTTGTAGTGCTTGAAATAAGCTTTAAAATGAGCACTATTAAAAGTCTTTTGCACATAAAATAAGTGAGCTGTATTGCAAATAAGGGGAGCATCTAATGTTTTTTCTTTTAAATCAATGGGTTTCATAAGTGCCATTTCCACCAAAATTAAAATTAATCGTATTCCGCCTAGATTTAACTTTATTATGAAGAGTTTGATAGATAGTATCAGTTTGGCTGCTTCAGGACACATATTTTTCAAAAAAGTCACGATTAAAAGAAAAACCAAAATTTCAATTTTTTAAAAAACCCACTTGTTTTCATAATATCTCAAAAATGACGACAGATAGGTATAGAAGTGTACGATTTAAAAATTTAGGCATTTTTCTGACAAACAATTTGGTTTTTTTGTTTTTTCTGTCAAAATAAAATTGACGGAGATATGATTGTTTAAAGAGCGCGTGGCAGCGCAATCACAGCCTCTCTTAAGTATTCCCTTTAACCCTTCACCGTTTTAGAAAAAGGTTTTTTAATATATATTGCAATGAAAGATGTTGTAGCTCTTTTAATTACCTTTACAATAGTTTTACATAAATTGTGATAGCATGAAAATTTAAGGAGTTATGGTCCAAAAACTTATCATATTTTTTTCTACTTAGTAACTGAAAATTTCGGAGTGTGAATATTTGGAGCAATGTGAAAGTACGCAGTATAATAGAGACCCACAACTATTGTAATGTGTATATATATACATAATATGGCTCATATATTTTGGAAACATAGGCATGAATACATACCAACGTTCTTATATGTATATATAACACATTTCATCATTTCATCATCATCAACATTCATCCAACGGATTGGGGGTGGGTCATGAATGACGGTTTATTAAATCCACTTAAGTCTGTAGATCCACCCGCACCACAAGAACTGCTGAAAATGATTTTTTGCAACTGCAAAAAAGGATGTGGAGCGTCTTGCAGATGCAGAAAAGTTGGTCTGTTTTGTAATAGTACCTGTGGAACGTGCAGTGGAGATAACTGCCAAAATAGCCCTCCAATTCAGCCAGATGTTGAATGTGACAGCGACTCCGACATTGAGTCATGAATAATTATATTATATTTTAATAATAATAGTACAATTTTATATAATTAGTAAATATTTTATTCAATAAATGGCAATTTTTTACTCTATATAAAATTATTTTTAAATATGTAATATATATAGGTATATAGGTTAAAAATGATTTTAATATGAGGTAAATTATGTTAGAAAATACTTTACAATTTCATCACTTACATGTTTTCTAGCGATAAAATGGCTCAATGTCAATTTTTCCATTAAGGGGTTGTTTACACCCCTTAAAAATAATAGGCGGAGTTCAGATCATTTTCACTTTTGAAGTTAAGGGTAAGATGAGCTTAATTCCAAAATTTCATGCAAATCGGTTCACAGTAAAAAAGTTCGGAGGTAAGGCTATATTTTTTGCTTCAATGACTGCACTATATGCCAAGCTGGGCGACAGATAAAAATGTTATTGGAAAAAAAAACTTCTATTTTGGTTTAATCCTAACTCCATTTCATTGTGGATATGATCTTAGGGATCATCGTAGCGAAACTTAAATTGGTATAAAATTCTCCTGCCTGCTAACAAAAACATAGGTGATATTTTAGGGACGTCAATAATTCGTTTGTTTGTTAAAAATGATTATGTCTGTTACTTTCTAAAAGTAATAGAATAAGAGAACACGTCACTTTGACGCGCATTAAAACGATCCTGAGTGCAGACATAAATTGCTGCAGTAAGGATCGGCTATAACATTTTCAATCTAAAGTCTAGGGTCATAATAGATTTAATAGCTCTCCGAAATTGCTATCGGTCGATTGGTCCAAACGTTTATATAAACCAGGTACCTATCTCGGAACACATAAACAATGATATCCAATTTCCTAGAACGACAAAAGCCGAGTGTAGAACCTTGGTCGAAACCGAACTGGCGACAAAGGCACTCGGTCTTACTATGAGCATAAATCGTCTGCCTGCCAATAGTTCGCAACTAAATGAACGAAATAATGTGCTCTTAGTAGGTTTAACTAAAGTTAATTTCACAGCCATATGTGTTACTTAAGTTATAGGTAAGGCCAAAGCTTAGTGATATAGGATCAACAATATTAAATACCCTAGTAATACAACAACATGAATAAAATCGTTTCCAAAACCTGTCCAAAAGGTAGTACATTGGACGATCCACCGAGCTCCGTAAGATGATCACGTAGTCAAAATATATGATATATTTAAATTTTTAAATAATGCCTTATAAGGCACTTTTCATCATCATCATCATCAGCCTACTAATGTCCCCACTGCTGGGGCACAGGCCTTCCCAATGGATGGCATTGGAAGATTGGGCCATGACCCACCAGGCGAGCCCAGTGCGGATTGGCGGGTACTAACGACTACAGATGCAGCCGGGACCTACGGCTTAACGTGCCTTCCGAAGCACGGAGGAGCTCCAGATAGATGTTTTTGGTCACCTATCCAATGACCGACCACTGCGAACGTTGCTTAACTTCAATCATCGCAGCCGAACGCGCTAACCACCTGCGCCATTGAGCCGTCCAAAAGGTACATTGGAAGATCCACCGAGCTCCTTATGATGATCACGTAGTCAAAAGCAAAATTTTGTTTTTGATATATTAAAATTTTTAAATAATGCCTTATAAGGCACGTTTGGATGCATACTCTATAAGTTCTTCATTAAAACGCATGCGTAAAAGAGTTATGACAGTTCGAAATGCAAGCTCGTAAAATTTAACGGCTTATTGCTATATGCGGAAGACATAGACCTTATTTTTTTGATTCTACGTGCAATTCTGAATGCGCTGTTAGCAATATAGAGTAGCAGGTACGGAAAGCGAAGCAAAAAGAGACGGCTATATACCGACCATGTATTTGAATATCACAAATATTTTTTATTAAATCAGTTTTTAGTAAGTATTATAACAAAATTTGCTTTAAAAGCGATAACACTTTGATTAGATACCTGTGGGAAAAACGATAGTTTTTTTTTCACGGAGCTCTGCGGAATCTGAGTTTTAAACGGTGCGCGCGTGACTGTGAACCAAGAAGTGCTTGGCTGGAGTTCAAGCACTTCTTGATTGGGACATATTTTGAGCGCTCGTGGTGTATCTAGGGTATTTAATATCGTTGTATAGGATACCTCAGAAATGAAACAGCGCGGCGTGGGTCTTGCCAAACTTATTTTTATTCTTGAAATGAAATGAAAACTTTTTACTGAATGAATGAAATGAAAAATGTTTACTGTTCTTCACTCAAAACGTATAATCACTTGGAATCGAAACTAATAATTATTGCGAAACAAAACTTATTATCAATTGTTCAAAACTTATTCACGTTGATTTATTGTAGATAAATCTCGGCCTCCCTCTTTAGCTGTCTGTAAAATAATGCCCGTTTGCCGCGTTTCATCGACCAATACAACCAGATAGCTACCAGCAGTGTGGCCAGCTATATTAAAATGTTGCAAGGAAACTTTTTAATTGATATTTTTATTTCGATACGATGAAACTTTACAGTATGTAATACCTCATACAATAAAATACAGATTAGTGTATTGATGTTTAAATCTAAAGAAAATTTTAACAGACAAAAATCCACGCGGTCCTGGTTTGAAATTTGATTTGAACCAGTATCTTCCTCTATTCAGGCGGGCCTAGAGAAATTGGAGGAAATCCGACACGCTCATTAAGGTCACGATCACAAAGTTGGTTAATGCGTCCATCTGGTAAGCGCAAGGTGTTGAAAACATTTATGTATATGTTATGTATGCGTACCGAGATGCAATGCCAATAAGTCAGTGTGCTATCAGCCGTCTTGCGTTTTACTCGTCCCCTGCTCACCGACTTATCATTGGCGACGAATTACCCACAATCTAAAAAAAAAAAATGTCGTGCATCAGTTTCGGTGTTTTAAATAATTTTGACCATGGTCTTCAGACGTAGAAAACATGGAGAAGTAAATTCACACAATGGCTAATTGCGAATGACGTCGACGCAGAAACGGACAAAGCGGGAGTAAAGAGACGAGCGATTTTATTAAATGCACTCAGCGAGACCACGTACAAGCTCGCATCAGATCTTGTACTACCTAAGGAGATCCAAAATGTGCCATTTGAGGAGATACTGGAGGTGCTAGATAATCATTTCACCCCTAAGTCAGCGGGATTTAGCGAGCGTCACAAATTTTATGCCGCTACCCAGCACCCATCGGAGACTACGTCACAATGGGCAGCGAGGTTGAGGGGGCTTACTTCGCAATGCAAATTCAGCAACATAGAAGAGGCTTTGCGAGACCGCTTCATCATGGGGATGCTGTCTGGTGTAGAAAAAGAGAAGTTGTATATGCAGGAACTGGTCAGAGCTCCACAGAGCAGGATTGGACTCACCGACAAAGATGATCATAGTATATTGTTTTTAAACTTTCATGGTCATTAACATTATAATAATACAAGATATTTAAGGGATAGTTACCATGTACCATATGTGTAAAAACCGAAATAATCAAAAAAGTGTCGTGTCGTGATCCGATACTGTAATATAAGTGTTGTGTGTCGAGAATAGTTTCGAGTGAATAGTGTGAATGTGAACAGTGGTACGGGTATCAAACGCAAAAAAAGACTTCGTCGGAGGGTAGACCAATATGTCTGCTAATAACAGCTTACCCGCAATCACTTCTGTTACTCCGTGATCATGATACTTGCAACAGTGCCTAAATATCGGAAACTTACTAAAACAAAGTACATGGTAACAATCCCGTAAATAACTTATATTGCATCATAGTATAATTGCGTCGCTGCGGTCTTTTGTGATGCGTTTCAGCTAAAGCTTCGAACAGTTCTGAACGAAAAGAAACGTTTGCTCCCGCGGTAAATAAAAGCATCAGAGCGAGTGAACGAGTTAGTACAACGATGATTGTTTACCAGACTCAGGGCATGAATGCTCTCTTAGTGTCGCCGCATATGGGCCACACGATACAGCCACAAACGCCGCCACGAGAAGCTAGAAGCGGCTGCTAACGTGGCTGAAGCGCGCGACAGCGGCCGACTACGATAAGGGAGAGAGGGGTGGGGAATC